GGGTACAGGACTTGTGGGCATCCCGCCGCCCCGAGCTCTATGCTCATGTGTCAGCCCTTGGACTCGGTGCCAGCTGCGGTGATGTATGGCCCTGCGCCTGAAGCGTCAGCGTTACCCTTCGAGGGTCAAAAGACGGGGAGCAGCTGCGGGTACAAGCAAGGGATGCTGATGCAGTCTTGTGCAAGTCGGCTGTGAGCGCTCTTCCGGGTTCGTATTTCTCGTGCATGCAGAATACAGGTAGTTCTAGCATCTTGTTTGTGAGTCTTGAATTGGAGGGAGCTAGTCATCAGTCGTTTTAGCGCCGTCGGGAGGATCATCTACCACATCCTGCAAGCATGCGTCCACTGACAAACTTGCGCCATGCGATTATATAGCAGACTTCATCATGCTTTGCGCCAAAGATCTTGCGCTGGCGTGAGATGCTCCCAGCAGATGCCTTGGGAGAGACTGGCCAGTGGCCAAGTGGGAAGTGACACCAAATGACAGACATCCCAACCAAGGAGGAGCGCTCTCGACTTTGGCCTCCATCCGAGAGCCCAGCGAAGGGCGAGGCAGCCAACTGGGGGGGGCATTTAGGGCCGCTGAGTTGTGTGGTCGCAGGCCACAAGCTCCCTCCAGCGGCCTCAAAACAAGGAGGCCATTTTCGCTCGCTTGTGCTGTTCATGTTGCTGACAAACGGGCCAGAACCAGGCACAAGTTAAGGAGCCACAGAGCTCGGGAATCGTAGAATCATCCGCGTGCTACAAGACCTCTAGGCCACAGAGCTCGGGAATCGTAGAATCATCCGCGTGCTACAAGACCTCTAGGGTGAACGGCGGCAAGCAGGTGATCTCCCGCGAATTCAACCTGCGCATGGGTGGCTGGTTTCCAGCTATGAAATGGCTGATCAAGGTTGGGAACATTGGGAACACAAAGCTCCGGAGTTGCCTTGCCGGCTCGTGGGAAGTAAGGTGGTATCGATAATCCCACGCGCTCACCTTGTGGTTGGCTTGGTTGAGTTGAGGCAGGTGCTGGTACTCGTCTCGGCACCTTTTAGAGTGAGGCATGTTGGGAGTCAACATGAAGATTCAAGATGGTACGCCGAATGTTCCAGTAAGGGTCTTGGGCAAGAGCAAAGTGTGACGTGAACTCCCAGATTGACAGGAGTTCCGGCTTCGCATTGGTTACGAGACACCCGATGAGGAGGCTATCCGACCCCAGACTTGTTCGAAGCTGCAGCATTGCCTCTCCGTGACAGGCTGGCATTCGCTTCTGGATCCGACAATTTTCCCCTGGCCTGGGTCCTATCAGCACGCAATTTCTACTGTAGTGTTGTGCGGCAAGGTCATGTCGGAGAGAGCCTCGGAACTGTCCGTACCTGAACCTAACACGGAGTTGTGCCCAAGGCTGCAGCCCAACACTCTAAAACAGACTATCCAAGAACTGCCAGTTCTCAGTTGTAAGTTCATGGGGTCAGTTTCAGCTTGATCGTGTTCTGATCTCGGCCATCCTTCAGAAAGGCCCTCACTTCGTTTGCAAGCAAGCACCCACCCCGTAGCCCGCATCAGAATGACAACCGCAGCACCATCCTCATCACATCCGGATCCTGGCGCACGGCCCCATTCGGCTTTGGACCATGGTCAGCATGGTTGCGCTATGGCTCATGCGAGCTTCAACCCGTCCATGTCTTCTGCACTTCAGCACCTTGAGGCGAGCAGAAAGTTGCCGAAGCACCTTCAGAGCCGGCATCTTGGGTGTGGCCGCCTTGCTGGCACGTTTGTCGTGTCAGGTGTCTTTCTTTGCGGGAGGACGGTCGCAGGACTCTGCATGTGCCAGGACTGCGGACGAACCAGTGCTGCCAGCGACAAAGGAGGAGGCCGACCTCGCCTTTGTCTTTCCAGGCTCCGAATCCCAGAGCACCGTCTCCAGCAGAGGTGCGTCAAGCTCGCGCCTGGACGCTCGAGCAGGTTGAACGCTGCGACCCAAGCAAAGCTCCCAAGCATCTCAGCATCGTTCGGCCCTGCTGCGACAAGCTCCTCGCAGATTCTGTAGTCTCTTCATGCATTATGCTGCAGTGCCTTCTCGAGCATCGAAGGCCAGATGACCAGCTTCTTTGAGCTAAAGCGGCAACTATGTCCCAGCACGCGCGTGCCTGAAATAGCCGTTGACAATGAACCTGCTGTGGCGAGAGCATTGAAATGCTCCGGTGCCAGGCCAATCCTGGTCCCGTTGAAGGAGCTGCGACTGCACTATGTGAAGGCCGGCCTTGGATCTCGAAGTTTAAGTTAGAGAGGTTGTGAAGCCGGCTGCTTGGTATTCCCGGAATTCTGCTAACGCCGTGCGCCTGATCCACCATGCTCTGCAGACCGGCAGAGCAACTTCGCCAGAGCAAATGCGCTTGCACCGCAAAGAGGACAGGCATGTACCACACATGAGGGTCAGCAAGCTAGCAGAGAGATAAAGGTGAATCTCAACATCAGCAGTTTTTGTCGTACGAGAAGCGAGCAGTTTTGTGCCCAGCCCAGACTATTCAAGACAATCGCAGAATACTTCCGAGCGAGGACTTGTCTACTGGCAAGGCTCGGTACAGCATCTGCTGCAAGGATGCTGTTTCTGCATGGGAAAAGGAACGGACAGCTCGGCGCACTTGCAACGCAAGCTTCCTGTTCCCGAAGGCTACGGCTACTTTTCGATCCTTGTCGTCTTCCAGGTGCAACAATCATTTCCCACAACTGTCCCTATAGGCCCTAAACCCTGTTCCCAGAGATGGCAGGGCCTGGATCCCGGCAGGCAGACCGGCGGAGGCCCGGCTGCGGAGGGGATTGTGCTACGCTGTCGCTTCAAGGGCGGACTCCTTCGTGTCAGAATTCGTCTCTTCACCCGTTACACCCGGATGCGCACGGGGCTTCTTGCTCAGAGATGTGGTAGTCTTGAGAATCGGATACTTGCGGGGTCTGAGGGGTAAGAATGGAGCACTGATAAAAGCTTTCACTGTCAGCAGAGCATGGGATTCTTCTTGCTCGTGGTAAACTCGAGCATCGGATGCATGCCTCAATTGGGAGTTTCTGAAAACAAGGGGTACCTTATTTTGGGGTCCTTATAATAAGGATCCTACTATTTAGGGTACTATATGAGGGTCCCCTATTTTCGCAAATTCCCAATTCATGGCAGGCAGTGAGGAGCAGGCCCGGCTGCTGTTGGTCTCAGCTTGCTCGAAACCGAGAGGGCAGCGTCGGGTAGCGACCAATCTATAGTCACCATTGAAAACTCCATATCTTGCTCAGCAACGTAGCATGAGATATATCATCTAGTATGATAGAACATAGTATAACAGAAGTAGTATAGTATCGTATAAGATCCTTTAATGTACTGTATTTTACTTATACAATCTTTGACAGGATGATATACAAGAATTCTCCCCGGGCAGGTCGCATGCCTGTGCAGTGCGAGCGAAGGTCTCCTCCTCCACGGTTTAGGGTTTAGGGTTTAGGATGGTTTTCCTTTCCTTCGATTGCCGCTTCTGTTGGTGTGGTGGTGATTTTTTTTCTGGGGTCTTAGGGTTTTTTTTGGGGTTTAGGGTATCAGGTATTCAGGGTTTAGGGATGTAGGGTGTGAGTGTATCTATACAGAGCTCATACCGGCAAGAGTAGAAATCTGAAACACATGTCTGTGCATGTATGCGTGTTTTTACATACACGGGAGAGGGGTACCTCCAAACGTTTGTTTATGCATATGTACACTGTGCGAACAGGTAAACAATAGAAGCAGATTCGCTACCCATACCGTGCCAGTCAAGACGAGGATAAGGGCAAGGACCAGGACACACATGTAGGGGCGAGAAAGAAAGGCCAGACAAGGCAGCACAAAGAGGGACGCTGGATGACGCTGGGATGGCACGGGGTGCTAGCAATGCGACAAGAGCAGTCCAGGTGACAGGAATTACAGTGTGACCAGACAATGGAAAGAAAAGGTACAAGTTGTACAACATGCATGCAACAGAGGCGTCGCAGGAGACCCGGAATAGCGACCAAAGCTAAACCTAAACGATCGATAAACCATGTCTCAAGGAAATGCCGGTCTTAGGGCAGGGAAATGCAAGAAATGAATGCATGCTGCAGCTCTTATATGCCTGCATGCAAACACATGCAGTTTTGCGCATCCTTCGTCGTGTGCTCTGCACTTTAGCATGCATTTAAGAAGAACATCTCTCTTCTGTCCCTCTCTGCCACCCAAAATATCTACCTATGTGCCTGTCTATCGATCTATCCATCTATCCATCCATCCTCCGTCTATCTATCTATAGTGCTTCTTGTAGCTACGACGAGCCATGGTGTCGATATCAGCTATGCAAGTAGGTACAGTAGGCCGGTGCAAGTAGAAAGGCAGTCAGGTACGCGAGGACGTGTCTGTGTATATGCTTGTGTTTGTGTTTTGGGAGCTGCGACTATAGCACACGCACTCGGCCGAGGACTCGGCCGACTTGTCTGTCTCGTGTTCTCCAGCTGCCATGGGATCAAAATAGCATGTCATCCTCCGAACACTGACCACCCTCAACATTGAGATGGCTGTTTCCTTTGGCTCCCTAATCGTAAGTTGTAACTGTAGCTCAAGCCAACCTCGGCTGCTATCGGGACATGCAGAGCCTGTCAATCCTCCACGTGGACCAGAATGGTTTCAGGCAGGACGGAGAAGGAGGAGCCTTTTGTCCCCGGAGTGAGACTCCAAGAGTTGAAGCAGGCCGGCCTCAGCGGCCTTGGGCCCAGAGTCTGCGGCGCTGGCGCAGCTGAAGGCCACTGCAGTGCCGCTGAGTCTCCACGTCCGAAGCTTCTGATCGCAGGCCCTGCATGAGCTCGATCAGAAGTCCATCTTGAGTTCCATGGAGGTGATGCACTTTGGCTTTAGCGCTGCCACTCGACTCGCTCGTGCTTGCTCAGGCCAATGCGGTGAGGCGCAAGGAGCAGGCTCCGAGCTTCATCTTCTCCCTGGGTTCGGTCTGATTTCAAAACATGGAACGTTTAAGGGGGGGTTTCCGAGAATAGGGGACCCTAGTATAGTACCCTATATAGTAGGATCCCTATTATAAGGACCGCCAGAATAAGGTACCCCCCTATTTTCTGAAACGAAGATACGCCTCTGACAGGGGAACCTGGCCATGGAGAAGAACGAGTACCGTCACGCAGTGAAGGAGTACAGCTATGACGCGGCCCCAGCATTGAACCCATGTCTTTTCATCTAATCTATCTAATTTATCTAATTTATCTATCTATCTATCTATTTATCTATCTCACTACACCTACCTATCTACCGATGTACCTATCTACCTACCTACCTATCTATCTGTCTGTCTATCTATCCATCTGTCTATCTATATATCTATCTATCTGTCCATCTATATTCGTGTACATGCGCACACGCGCATAGCTGCATCTTCATATATGATACGACATAGTATGCGATAGTAACATACGATATGACATATTAACGTATACACACACTAGGAGAAGATTCTGGAATACATAATATAGTATAATACAACAGGATGTAGAATAATGTGATTACACATAATACAGCATGATGTAGTATAAAATGGTACAAAGCAGCATAGTCAATATAACACAGTATACTGAGGTATGACATGCGCAGTGAACAGGTAGAAGCAACTATAGCGCCGTATATAGCATTTAGTGTACTGTGCATAGTATGTAGCATGTCGTGGTTAAGTTAACATATTTAGAGATAGTGGGTAGCAGATAGCAGATCACAGTCCATATATGATATACAATACATAATGTTTGTATGGGTAGATGGATAGATAGATAGATAGATAGATAGATAGAGAGGCTTACGGCTTACAGGTTATGAAAGTTTCTTTTGCGACGAGGCCCTGAGCCATGCCCAGGACATGATGGACTTCCTGGAGGCCACAGAATTCTGGACCCTTCAAGGGCCCTACTTAAGTGGGCTCGAAGCAGCCCAGGTCGAGAAATTTCAGCCTATGAATGGATACCAACTGAGAGCCCTGGCGAAGGGAGTGTCCCGCTGCCGCGCTTGCTCAACTTTCACAGCTTTGAAGTTTGAAACCTCCGTTCGAACTGCAGCGGCCAGGTCACTTCCTGGCCGTGGGCCGCCAGCTTTGCAGCCCTTTCGTGCGGTGGTCTTGGCCAGCCGGGCCGCTATTCCCAGCTCAGAAGCCTCATGAATCGTCATGCTATCCAGTATCCACGAGCTGGTGGCCTCGACGTGCACTGAGAGGCTTTGGCCTTCCTTCGCCTGGACGCCTACGACCGCGCAGCACAGGACGTGGTGCTCGGACGAAGGCGTCGCGAGAGGCCGTGGTGTCACATCGCGACGCAGAGGATGCCGAGCTGGCCTGCCAGCTCGAGCCCCGATACTTGAAGGCGCACGCTGAAGGTCGTGTCAATTTGCATGACCTGCGGGGCAATGCAGCCTACTGCCGCCTTTGGAGAGGCGTGGATACGCCGGGCGGCCGCCCTCGCCGCTGCGAATCTTCGCTCGGAAGCCCTAGAAGTTTTGGACGAGGCCTGCTGAGTGTACGAATCTTTTTGATTGCGAGTTGGAGCATCATGGCGCAGGCTCTGTGCAAAGCCTGCCCAACAGACCTTTTGCGCGAGCAGGCCACGACTTGCTTGTCATTGTGCTTTGCTTGACAGATGCGACGGAGTTGATCACGAGCAGGTGTGCAAATTAATTGTGAACCTCCGAAACCTGGTCAATGTCGAGGTCAAAGAGCCAGAGAAGGCGCTCGACCTGTGCAAGTTGCACTGCACACCATACAGAGAAATTCTGCCAGGACCTGCCAGTGATTTTCGCCGAGGCTGACAAAGCACAGAGAAACCATCCACAGGTGGGAGAAGTGGTCATGTGAATCTAGTGCTTAAGGGACATGGAAGCGCTGTTTGGAAGGCAAGAAATTCAAGTTAATAGATGAATTGAAGCGCCACAGGGTGATGCAGGGGAGGACATAAAGTCTGAAAGTGCAAAGACGAAGACAGATCTGTCGACGAGACGAAGGAGAGCATACCAAGAGAGGAACGGAGGACTTGGGCTTGCATAACGGATCCTGGAGCTAGCTTGCGACACCAGGATCTTGTCGCATGCGATGGGACGGAGTGAACACTCTCCTGCATCAAGCACACAGCATCGGAAGACGCAAAAGACAGAGCGAAAGGCGAGAGGATCGGTTCAGGCAGAGGCTGCTCCAATTCCATGCCATCAACAACTTTCTTTGTACTTGTCATCTGTATTGAAGGGGGATGCCCGCCTCCTTTGGCTGTCAAAAAAGAAGAAAGCTGCAGAATGCCTCAACTTACCAGAAGAAGATCTCGAATAACGGAGAAAAGTTATGTTGCTTGCGCCAGGAACCTGGGGATATATCAAGGCTCGGGGGAGAGTTTTGGTTGAGCCGAGCGCCTATGCCTGAACTGACTGTTCGGAGTTGCAGCGTGGCAGGCCATCGGGAAGTCCAAAACCTCATGACACTTGAGTCATTGAGTCTCCAATGCCGGGTGCCTTGGCATTCAAGCTGTTCGATGAGCCTTGCAGGTGCGCATCCTGTACATAAAAAAGTGTCATGTGCTGCACCTTTCGTCGTCCGGTTTGCATCCCTGCATTACAGCGGTGTGCCACGAGTTGAGTAAGTCCTCGCTGCACACTGAAGTCGACATGACCGACTAGATACTCAGAGTGTTTTTCGAAGGACATTTTTCGAGCGCTTGCTGCAAGTTTTCTGAGGCACAAATCAGCAAGAGCAAGATGCCAGCCAGCTTCCTCGCACGACGACCTGCCACTCCCACATTGAGTCCACAGCTCCTGCTGGCGAAGCCGGCTGGTAGATCTTGTGCCGAGTGGTGTCGAGAATCCACCACTCAGGAGGTGAAGGAAACGAAGCTCTGAGCCTGGCGTCGGGTTTCGGCGCGACGAGCCTGCTTCGCGACTGGGCGACAGCACCCAGATCGAATGTCTTCCGGCTCCAGGCTTCCCGCGTCAATTTCGCACCTTAGAAGGCGAAAAGTGTCTGTAGCAGACCCGACCCAATGGCCCAATGGCTCGAGAAAATTCGACCGGCAAAGCCTGGGATCCCTCGCAGGCACTGTCCCAAGAGACTCGAGCTCGCTTGTACCCCAAGCATGGCACTCAGCTTCAGCCCTGCAAGCCGAGAGACGAAACTCTACTTGCAGCCTGCGAGCTGAGGACACCTTCCGCGAATCGGCATGTTTCAGCCGGCAGTGTGGACCGTGCACGCTTCGCAGCAATTTGAACTGCTTGGCTGTAGTGAGCTGAGCAAGTGTTGCGTCTCCTCCTTTTCGTGATGCCACCGCTACCGCCTACTGCTGCTACTACTACTCCTCCCACTCCTACTCCTACTACTGCTACTACTGCTACTGCTACTACTACTACTACTACTACTACTACTACTACTACTACTCGTGCTACTACGACGACTGCTGCTACTGCTGCTACTACTACTACTACTACTACTACTACTGGCAGTACTACTACTGGCGCTACTACTACTACTACTACTACTACTACTACTACTACTGCTCCTACTCCCACTGCCACTGTCGTTGTCACTGTTACTACCAATACTATAATACTATTTGCAACGTACTTTTCTTGTATGCTGCTGCTACTACCACTGCTGCGGCTATCGGTCGTGCTTTCGAGGTGTACTCTTTTTTTCTTTCTCTCTCTCTCTCTCTTTTGTTTGTTCCTCTTCTTCCTGTGTTCTTCTCTTAGACCGCTCGTGGCAGGATGCCTTCGTCTCTCGGCTCGTGAACTTGGCGATTGACTTCAAGGGCGATGCAGCGAGGGCATCGGGAGAAGGGCTCGGGCCCCGTTTAGGGTAAATCTCAGCGGCCGGCTTGCGACTGGCACAGCTTGGCTGCTGCCGAGGCCAAGATACCTTCGAAGAGGCCAAGTCCGTGAGGAGGTTGACTTCGAGGTCCGGGGATGCTCTGGGGGCGAGCTTGTTTCCGTTTTCGTAGCAGTGAACATGCGCTGCGAAGCTGCTATAGGAGTACAAGGGCTTGTCCTGCTTGCTTGCATCCGTCACTGAGCAAGGTGCACGGTCTGGGTCCCAGCTCTTGCCACAGCGGAAAGCCTTGCTTCAGCTTGCTGGATTCTGCTCTGAGACTGGAGTAGCTGCGATCGGGCTTCAGGATCTCCTGGCCATTGGCGAGAGGGTGTCAGCCCGGTGCAGGCAAGCGCTCAGGTCCAAGATCCTTGGTCTAAACAGCGTTCATCTGGACAGGACCTAGACTTGCTGCAGTTCTGGCTGGCCTTGCCGGACAAGGCCCAAGAGCTTGAAATCGGGAGTCGGGACTCGACTGAGCATGAGCCATCATGAGGCGCGCCTCGGCGTCCTGATGAAGCCAGAGCAAGCACAAAGGGTGATCCAGGCCGGACCTCGGCCCATGCTGCCCAAGAGACGGAGCTGAGACTTCGATCCCTGGACTTGGACCCGAAATGCAAAGTTAAAGACCAAAGCACCGAAGGAGTGGGTTGCCGGTAAAGGAGCAGCGGAAAGAGTCTCGAGCCCAGCTTCGACTTGGTCTTGTGCTGGGCAGCACAGTGTTGTTCCTGCCCCCACATCAAGGTCTCTCGAGCATTCACTGCGAAGTTCGGCTACGAGACCCGAGATGTGACAGTTCTGTTGCGGTCTTGGCATCTTGGAGTTCATCGAAGGGCCGTGCTTGGTTTGCCCCAAAGGTTCAGATTTTGGCAGTCCATGCCCAACAAAGTCCGGGCGGGTCTGCAGGTGCGAATCTCTGATTAGATGCGGTGGTTAACGGCGCCCAAACATGTCATGAACTGGCACCGGCAGCCAACTAACTTTGCAACATTGACATTTTGAGAGGTCCGTGGCTACTCTGATCACGAGGCATTCTTAGCTCCGACTCCTCCACGGAAGCTTTGGGTGCGGATGTCGCAGGCCTGGAAGCATCTTCAAGCGTACGCGCAAGAACGGGCCGAAGAGAAAGCAGCGCTGAACTGAGGAAATTTGAGCAATGCCGGCTGTGGCTGATCGAAATGTTTCATGAGCATCTCACTTTAAGGTTCCACCGAAGTCACCTAGAGATGGAAAGAGGCCGGTGGACGTGAAGCTGCACTGAAGCCGGATGAAGCCAGCTGAAGCCAGCAACCTGAACAGATGCAGGCCAAGCAACCAATGCACCTGCCTGACTGTGCTGCGAACAGCCCCGTTCTTGTCAAGTGTTTGTAGGAGTCCCTGGCGACCAGCTGGAGAACTTCCGGAGGCATGAGCGCTCATGTTATTTCAGTTGGCAACGTGCAGCGAAGCCAGAAGGATCAAGCTTCGCCGGCCACAGGCTGTTGAGCCTCAAGCAGCGCGTAGTCGCAGTGGGCGTGAGCACCTGCTGTTCAGCTGATGGCTTTCTAACCATGACAAGCAGCACGATTGGATTCGCGGGTAGCTGGGGTCTATATAGAGGCACCGAGCACCCATTCTCATCATGTTAGACAACCTTAAAAATCAGCACCGTTTCACCCTCACCCCTGTTGCACCTGTTTGCCTTTTTGTTGAGTTGCATCAGCAATTTGTTCTGTCACCGCTTGAATACGGCATGCTACGGCAGTTTTCTAGATTATCGTGTCGTAAGTTGATCGAATGCTATGAACGGAACCCGTCATCAGATGTGATCAGCCTGGCACGTTTTATTCCGCCATGGTGATCTCCCGCATTTCGTCCCGCACTGAAGCGGAGCGATTGGGCCAAGTCTGTCTCACGCAAAGCCAACTGCCGAGGTCGTTGCTTCGTGCCAAGAATGGTCTTGGGCCACTCAGCAGAAGACTCCACACAGCAGGTTTGCATCGTGGTTCCCAGCAGATGTCACCTTGCAGAGTCTCTTAATTAAGCGAGTCAGCGTCGGCCTGGGCAACTCAGCACACGAGTCTGTAATCAATCATGACATGTCTGTGTTGATTTCTTTTTGTTGGTGGGTGTGTGTGTGTGTGTCTGAGTGTTTGCACACAGGAGAACGTGCAAATGAATGTTTATGTACGTCGACAAGTCTAGTTTTTTTGAGAACTACACAGCAAAGGCAGATGGGATTGTGCTTTGTTTGGTAGCCCAGGAGATGCCAGATCACAAGATAATTTTAATCATATGTTCTAAAGAGGGTTGAGGGCCTAGGCTTTCACAAGTTTGCGGACATTTTTCAACGTCGCCAAATGCACAGACGTGCCATTACACGGATGAGCTTCTAGCTCATGAAACTGTAGGATCTTTTTAGTTCTCTTATCTAGACATCCGTTTTCGACACTGCTTGCAAAGTTCCTCGGGCCGCAGGGGAAGCACTGAACCGGAGGCGGCAGGTGCTTGCAAATTCACCGCAGGGAGCAGCTGAGCTGTCGCCCTTCGTTGGAACCGAGTGGTGATCAGTGGGACAAGTTGAAGCTGTGCTCTAGTTCGATACAGAGAAACCAAGTTTCAACACTCACGCAAATCATGGTTGAGAACGGCCACATCTATCTTCAATATAGGTATATGCCTGATCTATCCTGATCTGATATAAAGCATCTGGAGCAGAGAGGAGCCTGTGGGAAGAGGAGACTAGTGAAGGCAGCCACAGACTATCACCTGCCATGGGCCTTGGGCCAGGCATAGCCTGGCTTAAAGGTAAAGTTTGTACCAGCCATAAGCAGGTATTCAAGGTGAATTTTGGCAGTGATGGCAGCAGAATCCAAAGTCTTGAGGTATTTGATGATCATCTCGATACAGTTTGGTCTCCTTGCCTTCTTTATTTTCTGCAGCAGCTGCATCTATATGGCGACGCGACTTAGCAGCCGTGGGTGTGCCATATCATAGCGCAAGCCAGGCATACAGCCATTGCTTGCGAAGCAGTTCATCCATCGTGACTGCGTGCAGGAAGCTCAGACCTGCTACTTTGGGTAAGTTCGACATCCAGCTTCCCGACGACTGCTTTGGGCCTTTGCTCCTCCCGCTCAGGACAAGTTCGTTGGTCTTTTGCGCAGAGATGGCCAAAGTCGCCAGGAGCTTACGGTATCTACTCCACGTTGCCAGCACGAGAGCGCACAAAGTCACGAAGTCCGTTCTCCAACTTCTGGCCGCATCCGCAATCCAAGTTGACGCCCCAAGGTTGGCTGCCTTGCGATTATGCATGGTGCCCCAGCACCTCAAGTCTCAAGCAACTACTCAGAGATATTCAGAGTATTTTAGAGTTCAGAGACCTTTTTCCTCAGCCCTGCGATGAGGTCGCTAGACGACACGGGCAAGAGGTGTTTCAGCAACTGGAAACTCCAGGATTGCCTGCTCGCAGCAGGCCTGAATCTGACCAGAGCTGTCGAAGGCTTCTGAGCCTATGGGATACCAGGCATCCCCTCCATCACCTACGTTGTGCAGAACTTTTGCGTACAGGCAGGACCACCAGTAGCTGACCAACGGTCACTTTGACGAGATCCGGTGAGTGCAGCAGACCATGTGATGACAGCTATGCCAATGCATTGCCGTTGTAGTCTGCAGCGAAGCAGGTCTCGTACCAGAACCTTGATGCGGTGGTCTTTAATGCTTGGAGCTTACGGTCCACGGCGTGGCTTCCGGCTCTAAGACATATACAAATATACAGAGGCTACATGGCTCGACCGCTAAAAGATACATTCTTTGTCTTATGAAAACCTTCGGTCCTTTTAGAACGAAGGGTTCGAGGCCTAAATGGCCTAAATGTGATAATCTGTAGGTGAGGAGCCGATTGCAGCTTCACTGTGCGACATTTCTGTTGCATTCGGTGCTCACAATCTGTGCTTGCAGTGTACCAAGAGTCCCATAGCTGCAGGGCTGCCTAAGCTCGGAAGCAGTAAGGCTGCCGAAACAAGAATCGTAAGATGTGTTGTTCCCTGTAGTGATGGTGTGCCTCAGGTGCTGAATCAGTCCAAAGTGTTGTTCACAGCTCTGTTCTCCTTCCTCATCAGTGGAAGGAGCTACAATACAATGTGCCTGAAATTCTCACGGAGCTTCAGAAGTTGATCCTGTGAGGAGGCAATCACTGCAACAGTGCGTTGCGCTGGTGCTCGTCACCGCCGGCGGAATCCTGGCGCAAGCCTCAGCTGGAAGCGAGTCGCTCCGCAGCAGTGAGGAAGGCAGCAAGTGAGCAAATGTTGTGCCAGAGAGCTTGTGCACGCTTGCAGAGAACCCCACTCCATATGTTGTCCTCATGGCTTGTTGCATCACGCAAGTCACTTTAGTGAGGCTGCCGCTTGCTCATAGTTGCCATGAGTTGACTCGATTTCACAGTTAGCACGAGTGCCACCTCGGAAACCGCCTCCCCAACCATAAGGAGAAGTGAAACTGCAGGGACGGGGGAAAAGGAAAATGCGGGGCGAGGGGGGAAAGGGGGGAGCGCTGGCGGCGGGGCTGGCCCCCCAAAATCGGCACTTGTAGTACTGAAGCCCAAGCCCGAAAGCAAAAATCCGATCAGTAATCACAAGTCCCTGCAGACCTCTCGAGCACATGCGACGCCTATGCCTTGCCAGGTGAGCATCCCCGACAGTCCGCCTGCGCAGGCGGACGAGAACTCAGAGAAGCAGGCCCAGTGCACACGGCAGAAAACACTTTTGCAGTCGCCTCGTTTGGCATCGCCCGAGTCCTGGTTGCGACAGGAGGAAAGGCATTTTCTCGGCCTCGTTTGTGCCGTGGTGGGCGCCGCGCTGAGCGGCCTCGGCAGCGGCATTGCGGCCAAACTGGCGCAAGTTTTACCCACTCATTATAACTGCAGCCTGCAGGCCCATGAGAGGCCCAAGAGAGGCACCGCCTGCACGCCAGGAATGGGCACTGCAGAGGCGAGGACGAAACAGCTTCCTCCTTTCCTTGGAATTGGCCTCCATGGGCTGTGAAGAGCTCAGCTTTCTCTGCGGTTTAGTCAGTTGTCAGCAAAAAGCTGCCGCCGTCGGAAAGGCACGATTATTGGCACAACTTCTTTGCTGGGTCTTTCGCCCGACAGTGTCAGGACAAAGCCGAAGAGAGGAAGTGATGGTTCACACTACCTTAGACCCTGCAGCGTGCAGGATGCGAGAACACGGTCCTTTTGCTGGCTGGACTTCGTGGACTTGGATTCCCGTGCCCGCTGGCTTGTCAAGAGCTTCCCTTTGCTTTCCAGTCACGACGTGCTGACGCACCGACTTGGTTATTGCTCTCGTGCTGCAGACTCTGCGGCGTCTGCACTTGGGCGTGTCAGAAAAGAAGATGGATCCGATGAGCGGGCATCCGGCTTTGCTCAGTTGGTGATCCTAGACTGAATGCAGTCAGAAAGGCGAGCGTGACACTTCAGCACACCGCCCGCCGCCGATGTAAGACTGTCTAGACGGTGCATCGTGGTGCAATGCTGTGAAGAAAGCTTACGGCCTACATGTTTATGGGCCTGCTCAGCCACTGCTAAACCCGCTTCAGTTGCAGTATGCGCCAGGTACTCTGCCAAGGCCTGAGCGGTATCATCGTCGGAATCATCACGCAAGTGGCTGCACACTGAGGGGAGTGGGACAGACATATCCGTTTCAAACTCATGTTGGGCGCGCCAAACTGATGAGACCTGCTAGGCTGCTAGGCTTACACATGTTCTCCTTTCCGCAGCGAGAAGTCCAGGCTGGTGGTGTCCGGAAGGTCATGGCCACCATTTGCGGTCTTATTTTGACTTGCGTGCCGAGAGCCAAGCAGACACAGAGTTTTGGACGGTGTGGTGTTGAACGAATTGCAACATGCTGTGGCGTCAATGCACAATGCTGAGGCTGCAGCAGGCTTTACTTGGCATGCATCTAACGTGGACCCGTCTCGCTTCAGTTGGCACATGCGCATACGAGATCGAATGAAATCGGGTTCCCATGCCCACCTGCAGCAGGACGACCAGAAAGAACCCTTAGACTTGTTCAGCAAATCCCTTGTGCAGAAGCTTTGCCGGGCATACATCATGAGTTTTGCCAGGTGGCTGGTTCTTGCCGCTGTGCCTCTCGTTGCGAGCGGTATCTATCTTCATGCCCCTTGGCTCAACCTGGACAGGTTCAAGATTGCCAGTAGCAGCACGCGTTTGATTATCCTAATTGGTCATTGTAAGTATCGGTAGATATCGGTCATGTGCCTGCCGAGGCAAGTTTTCCGCCGCCTTCGCAACATTTGTCCTGATGCAGTTTGAAAAAGTGTGTGTGCTTCTGTTGCTGCCTGAATGCACGATTCGGGTTCTCAATGTAAGGTCGACCTCAGTGTACAGTGTGCAACAGAGGAAAGCGCAAGGATGCACACTCGACGGGAAGTGACGCGCAACTGGCGGTCACAGCAAGAAGCTGAGAGACTGCGAGAGGAGTCATCGATCACAGGCCACACAAACACTGACTTTGACATCTCCAGTGACGACTCCACGAGGCCAAGGTGCATTCCGCTCTCTGCTTTCTGACGCAGTGGCAGCGAGCATATGCTTTCCCGCTTTCCCGAAAGCAGAGGGAGGACAATTCCAGTTCCAGTCGAGGCAAGAGGCGAGACATCAGTGCCCTCGCCCGCTCAAGACCGCGCGTGGACGCGCTGGATTTCGTCCGAGCTTCCTGGCATTGAATATGCACGAGTGATCCTGATCGAGTTTTGTGCCCTGAGGGCCAGGAGCCTAAGTACGAGAAGCAATAGCCCCAAGAAGTTTCAGGTCTCTTCTTCAAGAGGTGTTGCGCGGGATGTACCATATCGGGAGTGATGAGTACAAGTGCCAATTCATCAGCACGAGAGCAATAGAGTTCGATCCGGGTCCATCCCACACTTTGCGAGCTTGTAGCCGTAGGTGCTAGGACAGCCCAACCGTGGTCCACGTTAACACCAAGCCAATTCCGAAGAAACTATGTCGTGTTCGTGCCTGTTCCAGGAAATTGCAAAGCGCTTCCCGGAGGATAAGACCTTGAAGCACATGCTGAAGCAGTGCCTGGAAGGCAAAGGAAGCACACCCTAAATTTAGATAGTTGAGCTAGAATCGGTATGGTTCAGCAGTTCAGCACAAGCAGCTGCATGAAGAACGGAAGCATGCACCGAGCAAGGGAGTATTTGTTCGGCTGATGGTGTGCCGGCAGGCGATCCTAGTGCTGCTGCCACAGACACGGACGCCTACAACTTGCTGGTGGACACGACTGCCCGATCACTCAGCGGTCGCCAACAGAGCTGCTCACTCTTTGGACCGGAGCTGCCTATAGCTACCGCATCTGCTGAAAGGAGTCGATTCTGATTCAATTTGGATTTGTAGACAGTGGTAGCATGCCTGGAAGTCGGTCGAAGTCTGCTGGAGGTTCTGAAGCAGGCAAGCCGTGACAAGTGGCCCTCCCAGCATTGAGTGGTGCAGTGTTTGTTGACACTGGGGAGCACAGCCCTTGATCAACCCTCCCTCTCCGGTAGCCTTGCTCGAGGACACCAAAACCAGCTGCAGGACAATTGGATGCTCGATTGAAATTGCCGGCGGCCAAGTCATTTGCCAAGTTTCGCACTGGCTTCACTGCCCTCTGCTCCTCTTGAACGGCCATTTCAGGAAGGTGCCCCAAGAGGAGGCTCGGGAGTCAGCGCTTCCCTGGGGCCTGGGGAAGCTCCGCGAGAGCACCTCCGTCCTGCCTTTGGCCTTGTCAGGGTTCTTTCCAGACCTGGCTGAGCCAAGACGCAGATAGGGCTGGGAGGCTGGGCATGGCAGTGGATCTCACCGGAACAATGAGGAGCTCAGACTCCAGACTTCTCGAGTGGGCAGGTTTCTCAACTTGCTGCAAGACGCCAGCAAGGTCTCTAGAAAGATCCGAAGCTACATGCGCCACCGCGCCAAGCAGCACCCTCCTTGTCTTCACCGCGCTGCGGATTTTGAGAGTCGCTCATTGCGGGAGGCATAAGCAAGCACAGCACGGGTGTGAGGTGCTTGGAACGTGGCGCACGGCTTGGTCCAACAGGACCCGTGGTTCCAGCCAGGCTCCTCGCGCAAAAGCAGACGATTAGAGGGGTCGCCCCACCCGCCTTAGCACCTGCCAGGAATAGGACAGAGGCAGACCTTCCCGCCTTGTACGTCATTGAGGCTGGTATGAGCTCACTGGCAGTCTGTGTTGCTGTTTCGGGGCATCGTGTTGAGAGTGTGAGTGGGGTCGGAGGTGGGGTTGGGTGGGTGGGTGGGGTGTGTCCCCCTCTCTCCTTCTCTTCCCTCTCTCTCTCTCTCCCCTTCCTGTCTCTTTCGCTCTCGGGGAAGCTTATAGATCTGAAAGCCACCAACTCAGACTACTCGCAAATTGGCACAGGACACCTTCGCTCATCTTTGTCGCAGATTTGGTGCGAACGAGGTCAGCATGGTGTAAACAGGATCTGTACACAGGGTTTGGAGTTTGCCAGCGCAAACACTAAACCCAACCTTGAGCTACTCCGACATGCGATGGTCACGCTTGGCCCTGCTTTGCATGAAAGGTCTACGTTCGTTTTGGCCCGCACTATCTGCAGCGGGCTAAGAGTTTGCCTGCGGCGAATCAATGACGCAACGTGGTTCCAGAGGTGTCGCACCGTCAACGACTCCAAGGAAACAAAGCCCCTCATTGAAGAGTGCATCACTCAGCATGAGGACCGCACGTTGTCCTCAAACGGCTTGCAATGTTTCTAAGGATACCTGATTCAACATCCGGCCTGGTACTGAGACTTAGCCAGGCAAGATGAGCAGGATCAGTTCAGATCAAGGTTTCGATCGAAATCGGCAGGGTTCTTCTTAAGGTGGTGCGGTCGTTGACTGTCCAACTCAAGGCGTCTCCTGTGGCCAGCTCAGATCTCCCAATTTTCAATGTGCGAGTTCGTGGCTTGTGCTGTTTCCACCAACAGTAGCAACAAGCTTTGCCCCGGACAGTGCGGGCGAGGTGGGCCCCGCATTTCTGCCACGGAGCCCGACCAGAAGACTGGGTCTGCTCTTGCGGCTTCCGCTTTGCAACCGCGTGGTGTCGGGGGCCTTTCCGGGGGTGGCCAGGTGGCATCCAAGCATCGCAAGCCCCGAGTTCAGCTCCGGGGGATCCTGGTGGCTCGAGCCTCGTCGCTCGCGCTTCCCGCGAGATCGTGGCGACGGGACCTGGGAGGCAGATGGACCTCGGACGACTCCACAGCTGCACGGGAGTACGCCCAGCCCCCCAGTTGCCGCAGAGAAATGCGCAGAAGGGGACTTTGACGCCGGCACTCTGCGATGCTCTGAGGGTTGGAATGGTGCGTGCCCACCATCAAGAAGGCTTGCCAAGAGCACTGCATTGACAGTTTTCAATTGAAGGGAAGCAGAGCCGCCTCATAATATCTCATGTGGGAGAAAGCTAGCTCCAGCTTCTCGTTCACAACGTTGTGTTGATCCCTTTGTGTGGCATCTTGCTTTGTTGAGTGTTGGTGGCGGGCCCCCTCAAGTCTAGTACTACTCTTCGTATCTGCAGGTCATGTACGCCACCCATGCCGACTTCCAGTCGGACTTGCTTCTGGCGACTGGTCTCCGCCTTGAATATTCGTTGGGAGGTCCCGTCAACCCGACACCCGTCGCCAGAGTGCAACAGTTCAGTTCTGCCTGAGGTGATGGCCACCAACTTGTCGTAACTCAGGTACGGACCTCAGACCAACTCACTGGAATATCCAAATCTCCCAAATCCTTGTGCTGTGGTTGCTGTGGGATCTGTGTTGTGTTTAGTGCAGAGGCAGTACTTCAGCTCGCTGCATTTGTTGAAAGATGCCGCCATGAGAACGTGCAAAAACCCAGCAGAACGAGCACTGCAATTCCTCGAAGTCCGAAGCCTTCCTCAAAGTGTTCGAGTCTCAGTTTCACCCAAAGGAAGAAGCAGAGAGTGCACTAACTGAGATTGAAAGGCTCTCAGGTCGACAGCTCTACAGCATGCAATCGCGCATCTCTCATCCCGATACCATATTACATTGATAAGGTTCAACAACTTCGGATGGAGCACCCGAAGGCTCATGAGCCGCAGTATCGCTGCCCCCGGCAGCAGTGGAGAACAATCCTTCCAGAGCTGCAAGGAACCCTTTGCTTCGATGCTGGGGTCAACCAAAGAAGATCATCGAAACTCCAGCGTCAAAGCTTCATCCGAACATGGGCGATGCCTCCTCCGACAAATGCTACGTTGCGCTAAGCGGCGTAGGTCAAGGGTTACAACGGTAAGAGACAGGGATTGAACTGTATACAGTTGTTCCGAGCAAGCTTGGGTTGGCCGTTTGGAGCTGACTGCACAGACCAACATGGGAAAGAAAGCACAGATGGCAAGCGTCCAAAGACTTTGCCAAGAGACGAGGTGCGCAATGGAGGCAGAGCCTTCCTGCACGGAGTAAAACCTGGGGACGTCAGGAGCCTGGCGAGTCAGCAGCAACAGGTTTTCACTGGATGCCGGACTGCATTGGATTCAGGTCCTACAGCTCAATGCTGGCGGAAGTACGGATGCTGCATTCGTTGGGCGTGGGTCACAGTCGATGTGGTGGGAAACGTAGACGTGATCTGACGAAGGCTGGACGGCGCAATTCCCTGCTGTTCCAGCCTCCAAGCCTGAGGCTGTCACCTGCGGACGCCATGGCGAAGATCGTGAAGGACTTCACGCCGCCACTGACATTAGTCTTCAAGGCCTGCCCAAGTTTTGAACGAAAGTCCCAAACATCGGCAAGTGCAGCCTCTGCTGAGCTCCGACTACTGTGGCGGGGTACATACTGTGTCACGAAATGCCACAGCAGCTCCAAGACTTCTGAGATGTAGCCACAAGAGCACTTAATCACGGGTGACTTGTGTTGTGTTTCGGGGACTGCCTGCTGGAGCCAGGGTTTGCTTGCACAAGACCTTTGTGTCACCTGCCAGTTGAAGCGTAAGCTCACGTGTGAGTGACGTGGCGCTGCAGGGCACAAAGCTCAGCGGCGACAACCGAAGACTGCAGAGTCTGCTGCAGCAGCCACTGAAGGCACATCACCTGCAATCCTCTCCCTGCCTCCACATGTCCATGCCCTTGTCGTCACGGCTTGAATTGGTACCAGCTGCTCCCTACTCCGACGAGTGCGAGGATCCCCCTTGCGGCAGCAACATCAGCGTTGCTGCAAGTAGCATCGCGTCCCACATGTATGCAGTCGGCATGCAAGGATTGTCGGCCCTGGAGCAGGTCAGAGTGCTTGTGAGCAAGAAGCTCGTCGCACCCTCTACAGACGCTCCAGAGGAATGGGAGCAAGTTCAAGAGCAGGACTGCACACTATCTGGCAATCGTAGACGGCTTTTATAGCATTCCGAAGCCTTCTAAAGTCCTATGGCGCCAAAGGAAGTTACCGCGACCACGCAGCATCCTTGCATCGCTTGTTCCTCAGGTTGCATGGGAGCCAGAGTAGCCGAGATTGATGTCAATGTCGACTGAGACGGAAAGTTTTGCAAGTCCAGACGTGTGCAGTCGGAGGTGCCCAGCATCTTTGTCGCACGTTGGGCCGCTTCCTTGGTGTTCTTGAGGCGATGCAGTCTTGATACTGGGGACATTGGTGGCTCAAGAGTGCTCAAGCCAAGCCAACAGCCTGCGGTGAACTCCGCAGTCCCAGGTGCAGCTACGTTTCGAAAGCGCATGGCCCAAACTTGACAACGAGGCACGTTTCATGCAATTTGCTTAATGTGCACCTCGATTCTCTAGCTAAATAGATTGGAACCTGTACTCTTGCGGCCGCCACGACGTCCGGCAAGAACAGCAGGCCCTCGCCGTGTCCGTGAAAGTGATGAAGGCAGGGTGGGCATGGTAAATCGAGATGGAGCTGCTGAGTGAGCTGACAGTCTTCGCGAACAACAACAACAACAACAGCAACAACAACAACAGCAGCAACAGCAACAGCAACAGCAACAGCAACAGCAACAGCAACAGCAACAGCAACAGCAACAGCAACAGCAACAGCAACAGCATACGGCAACAGCAGCAGGAACAAGAACAAGAGCGGCAAAAGCTGCGTTGTCATTAACGACCGCTTTGCGCATTGTGCTGAGGAGATATGCAGGGTACTGCAACATAGCAGTATCACTATCATCAGCCAAGGTGCAGTCCACATACATGCGTGAATGTCGTGGTTCTAATCAGTAGCGCATGCCTTTTGTTGAAGTGAGGTCTGGAGGCTAGCGCCGCCGCTCTTCCGGCAGCAGTTTCTGGAAAACCTTCGGCAGGTGGAGAGGTGCCCGAGGGGAATCCCGAGACCTCTAGACTCGAGTCCGTCTTTGCCAGTCCACACGATCAGGATCTGGTTTACGGAAGGCATCTGCGAAAGTTCGGGATTTCAAGCTGCGCATGCAAGCTTGAGGCAGGCTGCCAAAGGCCATGCTCTCGTCCGCCAACCTGACGGAAGGCCGGGACCGGTGCATACTGGCAGAATCCGGACTGCATTCGACCTGAGTCTTTCATCTTAGATCATCGCTTTGAGGAAATGGTTCTGGGCATCTTCAGTCAAACGAGAAAGCTTCAACATGATGATCAACATGGACATCGTGACTGCCTCACCTCTAGGCAAGGGTCGGTTGCTCCGCACCTTACTTGCATCAGTTGCATCCGTATAACATTGCAAAATAAATAATTAGGCTGTATACATAGTAACAGTATCAGTATATTATCATGGGTTGTCCAGATTCTAGACCCAAGGTCCAAGCTCTCATTCTCAGGTCCGACGAGTCAAGCGCAGCCACGACAGCGAAGGTGACGAAATGCTGGTCGGCGGCCTGGGCAACATGGAAAGCTATCAGCCTGCCTCTGCTGTACTGGCTCAGCCACCTACATGAAACTTATCTCCGCCTGCACAGCGCACAGTCTCTTCTCTTGTGCCCCGCGCGCGCGCATGCCTAGAGGAGATCCCGGCCGCAACAAGATGCGAAACCCAGCTTTCTCCTTGGGGTTGTCTGATCAGATCTCCATGCACCCTTTGAACGTCGTGTTTGTGTTGATGTTGGCCTGGTATGGCCTGGTGCCGAACTCTCGACGTCGGGTGTGAGGGCCCGAGCGAGGACTCTCGGATCTCGCATTCCCGTTGTGGGGTTGGCTGTGCAAAGAAAACGTGCTGTAAGCTCACTTCGGGACGTAGAGCGGGGTCAGCGGTGCGATCCGCTTTGGCTAAGGCAGAGCTGCCTAGCAGCTACTGCTTCTCAGGTGCGTCTCCACCTAGCTGCCCTAACTGAGGGGCTAACAGGGCACAGTCCGACTGGTGCGCTTCTGGGGTCACCTTCGACCTCAGATGCACGCTCCCATTGGAGAATACTCAACACGTTCAGAGTCTTCTTTCCAACCTGCCGGAGCTCGTGGATGCACAAATCTCGGGTGAAGCATGCGTTTTCCGACTCCCTCACCCCGCGGAAAAGACAACGATGCTTCGGGCCTTCGGGGGTGGATCGTTGGCCCAGCTTCGCAGGAAGTCACAACGTAAACTGTGTACTGCATAGCGCTGCGCAGTCGGGCGGTCGTGCGGGTGGGCACATCGAGGACTGAGGGCAGCTGGATACCCGGCAGCCGGGGGTCACTTGGCATTTTCAATCGGCTCTGGGCCAAAGTGCGGGTTCTCGAGCGTCGACTCTCGGACTGATGGGCAACGTGAGAGCGCTCCGCACCGCATCTCCAGTCGCTGCGGGCCGGAGGGGCGAACGTGGAAACCCGTTTTGAGCAGCTTCGCGGGGGCTGGACGAACTTACCCCGTATGCAGAGGACGGTGCGGTCAAGTCTGCACACCTTGCAGCCTGGATGGCCGGCAATTCCAGGAAATATATCCAAGAGATCATTTTGCGAATCTTGGGTTCGTTGACGTCCGAGAGGCAGCTGAAGAGGTGCACATTCAAGTTTCCAAGGCCTTGCAGATGATGTGCATGCGCGACAGGAAGGCGAGGGCCCGAGTTTTGCTGCTGTGTCAGTGCCCTGTCGGACCATGTCGGACCCACATTTGCAGTCACATTTGCTAGCTGAAGAGTCACAAGATGAACGACCGCCCACACATGCGAAGGAATTCAACATCCTGCGGTCAGACGAAATGCTCGCCCTCAGACAGCGCATCTTTACGAAGGACTGCCCTCCTGCACAACCATGCGTCCTGTAGTTGGTGCCAGCATGCGACTGTAGTACGGCACCAAACCGTCCAGAAATGTCCAGAAGTGATTGCCAGGAGGAGGATGTTCTCGAGTGCACCTTCCATCCAAGAACTGCCTTTCACTTGGGAGACTCGTATGGGGGTTTCCGAAAATAGGGGACCCTAATATAGTACCCTAAATAGTAGGATCCTTATTATAAGGACCCCCAAATAAGGTACCCTAATTTTCGGAAACTCTCGTATCGGCTGCGCTATGCTCCGCTTGCCACGTTTCTCGTTATGTTCTGGAGCCTCCCTGAGGCCGCCAATGTGCCAGGCCACGTGTACAAATTCCGGGAGAGAATCTCCGAAAGGATGGATGCATCCAAGGCGCTGCACTCTTGAGGATCTTAAGGGCGGTTTGTTGTTCATCTCAGTCTTCCCGCGCTGCCCCCATCCAAGCGACACTCGTTGATGCTTGCGATGATGATGATGATGATGATGATGATGATGATGATGGTGATGATGGTGATGATGATGATGATGGCGGTTTTGGAGTCTAGGCTGTCATGATCCTTGTCGGTGGATGCTGAACCATGATCACCTGCATTCATGCACTTGCCAGCGACAGCGGCATGCAGCTCCGGAGTGCAGCGTCGGTTTTCATACATGGCAGCCCATCTTCCCGCTAGGTGACTGGCGTTAAGGATTTTGTGAAGGCGCGCTTGCAGATCCGAGGCTCCGCTGTCTTAAAGTAGGGGCAAGATGCGTGCTTCAACAGGAACTGGGAGAAGAGTTCAAGGCTCACAAGTACCCCAACTACTGGAAGGTGCTCTAGTCTCAGACCCGTCATGCAGATGTCGTTTGGCGTGTGCGGCTGAGATCCTTCGGCTCAACTTGCATTTCCGAGGCATCGGCGGGCAATGCTGCAGAAGGCAAAGCGTGACTTCGTCCGAGGCTTCGAAACGGTTGTGGCAGACGAGATTGCTCCAGAGTTTGGCTTTGCCAGAATTGGTGTGGTGCAGGCAATCTCAAGGGTGCGATGGAGAAGCTTCAACGCCGCCGGGCAGCATCTGTTTGTGCGGAGCGGGAGCGCCTATCGATGAACGTGACTGGGAGCGAGGCCACTTCGGAGCGCCGGGCTCGGAGATTCTGCGCCCTCTACTGACTCTACGGTGGCTTGCAGACCGGAGGTGCAGCAGATGCTGGATCGATTTCGATGCTATCACAAGAACTGTGGGCGCAAGTTGGATCATCATGCTGAGATGTGGCAACCTCAATGTGGTAATGGGAGGGAGCCTTCTGTCTACCCGCGTCTGCCTTGAGCTATGCAAGACACGGCATGCGTGGGGCTGGGCTGGGCGCTTGGGGGACGCATGCCTCAGAGGAAGCTCGTTGTGAGTAAGTGGTTGGGACAGCCCTCCCAGCAAGAGCGCAGTGCTGGTGTGCGTGTCTCTGTGTGTGTGTGTGTGCGAGGTTCCGTTGCCCCCAACTTTTTCGATGTCCCTTCGAGCCATGTAGTGTGTCAACGCGAATCGAGTGGAACGATGCATGGGTGCTTGAGCTTGTGAAGCCGACATGCCAACCTGTTTGCTGAGATGCAAGTGCGCCGGCTTCTACTGTCACATCCACAAGCCTCCTCAGGCAAGGGACGGCAAGGGTGTTTTCGCGTAGCTCATGGCCATAAGTGCTATGGCAGGTCCACAACTGTAAGGAGATGAAGAAGATCCTGGAAACGAAGGCTTTCCGAAAAGATCTGGCCTCGTTTCCGATGTTCCCAGCCTTCAGGCGAAAGAGGCCAAGGATCTGGAGATCAAGTTGAGGGAGGAGGGCGGAGACCCACCACCAGAGGCTCGCGCAGCAGGGGTGACAAAGCAGATGCGCAGCGCTTCCTATCACTTGGTTGTGAGAATTCCAGCTTCCACCAAGTCACGGCATGTCTTTCAAGTCCAAGCATAGCCATATAGTCCCGAGTCTCCTTTCAGCGGATACCGTGAAAAGAGGAGAAGTTCGACAACAAGGTGGAAATCGGACTCCTCCTGGAGGCCAGGGCCTGGGCCTGGGTCGGGCTCTGTTCGTTTTGTCGATGGAAAACAAATCCTCTACTTGACCGAAACAGGCACATGAGCTGGCAGAGAGCATCCAGGCTGCGCTGAAAGAGAAGGACTGAGCCTCCTTGCTCAGCCGAAACGGGTAAGCTCTTGGCTGGCATTTCGGATCTTATACCGATGGTTGTGCCTGAAACAAGAGGATACTTCTAGCAGGTCCTTGCAGCAAGACTGCTGCCAACGGGCACTACAGGAGAGCTGGATGACACTGACAGAGTTGTATGTGCGCATAAAGCTAAGAAGAGCTGATCGCCATAATCATGGTCGTGAGAGATCCTAACCCCAACAGTTTGAAAAGGATGGAGGCCCTGTGGAACCAGCACACTCTATAGATCCCTTTCTGCAGAATAAGGGTGGTGGTACTAGAGTGTATTCTTCATCTCCCATCATGGATGCTTAATGCAGTATAATCATCCAGTCTGATGCCTTGTAGGACCGGCAAAAGCACTCTTTGGAGCGCTTGGGACAGTCGCTGGCATCCTTCGGGGCCGTCCGATTGATGGAAAGGCCAGGCGGGGGCAGGTCGTGCTCGAATACGGCCGTCAGCGTCATGGGCTTTGCCTTAAGGGTCCAATAAGTTGGTGGACTCAGGGCAGACTGCGCCCCTTCAGGGTACTTGGGTCGTTGTGATATTGCGTACAGGTAACGATGATGGAATCACGGATCGGGGCTAGATTCACAAGACACACAGCTTCAGGTTTCGATTGCTTGCGTACATGTTGCTTCCACAACTGCTCACACGTGAGGCCGTTCAAGCGGCGCATGTGCCCGGAAGCCATCCAGAAGCGCAGAGCTCGTTCTGCTGAGGCAGCTTCAAGAATCGTGCGACATGTATTGTTCACTCGGTTCATTTCATACTCACCAAGGCCCCCCCACCCCCCAAGGAGGTGAGCCCGAGCCTGCGTAATAAGAGTCCGGATCAACTCCAGGAGCCTTATCTCATTTTCAGTTCCTTTGAGACTGATCTATATAAGCAAGATTCTGGTTACCTTTTTTCCGCTCCGGCCGTTTGGATTCTGCAAATAAGTGAGGGGGTTCTAACTACGTTCTGGGAATTGGATTTTGAGATTACGTGGGGGATTCTAAATGTGAGATTGAAATTACGCAGTGCAAGTCCGAGCACAAGAAATGCGTCCCAGCTGCGAAAGGTCCCCATGTCTGTCAGCTGGTGTGGTTTATCCCACTCCGTAAAGCAATGGGTGGACGGGCAGGCCTTGCCGCCTGAGCGTCACGCACCGTGGCCCCTTAGCCCAACAACTCTGGAATGACGCGTGTCACATACGTACCCTGAGAGGTAAAGCACAGTCTTGCGGGGGAGGAACACGGAGAGATAGAGTCACGACTTGCGCAATCTTCCGTTCCAAGTTTGTGCACTGGACGCTGGATGTACGGACCCGTTCTGGGGGGAGGTGATACCTCGTCCTTACGCCGCCTTACGTGTGAAGCACCAGAAAGAGTTTGATGGAGAGCGATGGCTTCGCAGTCGATTGCAGGTGCGGGGACGCGGACCAAGGGGGTAGGCTGATGGTCAGGGGCTAGCCCCATACCCCAAGCAAGCAGGCAAGCAGGCAAGCAAGCGAGAGCGCGAAACGGTGAATGGGGTGCACACGGTGCGGGCCTGGAGGCGCCCCGACCAGTGAAGGTCATACCACAACTTTTCGCCTCGAGCTCGGGGCCTCCGTACCACAGCGGGGTCGGATCCTTTGCAGGCGAAAGCCGGGTTGGGGGAAAAGGTAGCCGGCGGTTCTTCGGAAAGTAGAAGAAGATCGAGGAAGAGACATCTCGTCTGGCAGGCGTCTGAAAATGGACGTCTTTGTTTCTGTGTGCGGGGTGTGGGGTGGTGCAGGACGTCCTCCCCCGCTGGCTGGCAGGATCGCAATTCCACACCGAGGCCTGGAGAGTTCTCTGGCAGCCGAGCTCATTTGCTGAGAGCGCTGCAGGCTGCCCGAGAAACTCCCCGAGGCGCCTGCAAGGAATGCAAGGGGAACTGCAAGTGCCGCAGCCCCAAGTGCCGCCCGAAATGCGAAAAAGCCGTCACAACTGGCTCCTTCGGCTTTGGCTAGGTCCTAATGCGCACAGCCCTGCAGAACTTCGCTTCCCAGCGGCCCGGGTTCCCGGAGAAATGCACCATCGCCTAAACTCAGCTTCTCAGCTTCAGCTGCACCCTCTGTAAGCAACCGATGTAAGCTAAGCCAAAGAAGTGGGGGCAGGGCGAGTCCGTGCAGCGGCGGATGGACTGGGTCAAGAAGGCCCGCGGACTGTGAACTGTGGTCAGCATTTTCCAGTCTCTTAGCCGGTGCCAGGCAGTCAGGCGAGCCGACATGAAGTTGGAAGCAGCTCCGAACTCGGCAGCAGAGCGAGAACTCGACCAGTGGCACCGGCGTTTCTTGTCTGTGACGCCGCTGGTGCTTCGCAATACCTGTACATGGCCCAAAACATGACAGGAAGCGGAAGAAGGAGGAGGAGAAAGTGCCGCCACCTCCGGCTCCTGCAGGCAAGCACTGTTCTCGGTCAGAGGACGACCCACACTCATTGAACTGCTCACGTCGAAGATTCGGCAGAAGCTCCAAAGATTCATTAAGATTCGATAACGCTCCGTGTTAGACGAAGAAATTCCACTGCCGTTGCTCCCCAGAGAAAGGCGAGACGCAGCGGCCTCGAGTGGAGGAGCGGTTCAAGAGGGTGCTGCTGAGAATCCTGGATGAGAAGGCGAGTACGGCAGACATGATGTGCAGCGGCTCCGCCTCCGTTACTGAATGTGCTATTGCGAGAGAACTGTGCCCACGACTCGATATGTCAGTTCGGCCGTCACTACTGAGTTTAAAGGAGTTATAGGTCAAAATGGATGTACTTGTTGTGCATGATGTTGCTCTTGCAGCTTGTTGTTTGCGTTACTCGTCGTTGGTTCTTGCAGGCAGGAGGGGGGTTGAAGTCTGGATTTGGAGAGAGCGTAGCCGTACTGTCGAAGTATGTGTTGATGAATGCAGCCCTGTAGGCACCCGTGCTTGCATGCATGTCGGCGCAGCGTTGCTGAAAGGTAGGTGGCCGTCCAAGCACGTTGCTGCATAGCGCTTTTGGGACGATGCCGAACGCGAACAGTGGCCGCCGCCGTCGCGCTGAGTGGGACTATGGTGGCCGTTGGCAGTGGAGGCAACAATACTCTGGCAGGCCTTCACCAATTAACATTCAACGCACTATATACTATGTT